GTATTGTGTATCTTTTTAATATTTCTCCTCTCAGAGTATAAGTGACAAAGCAGAGATGATATTTTAGAATCTAGCGTTCAGTGGCTCAGCCTGTGTATAAAGTTCGCGAACTCTGACACTGCACATTTGTTACCGCCAAATACGTAACCTTCTGAGAGCGAGCTGAAGTACCCCGACCAGCGCGATAAAACAAAACTCACGGGCAGTATTCTGGACACATGGCGAGCGACAAATACGCCTTTCCGATTCTTGTATCGAGAAGCAACGTTGCACGCGGTGCTAAAACAAGAAACATAAATTAAACTCGAGATTAAGAAGGGATGTTTAGTGTTCGCTGTGCGTTTCAGATCCCCGGAATCGTACGCGACCAGGTTTTCACGACAAATGTACGATTCGGATACGCTCGAAACTCCAGCTCCCGCGAAGAGAGGGACGCTCCACGACCTCGTTAAACGATAATCACGCTGATTAATTAATCCGGGACTTTATCCTCGTTCTCTCCTCGTTCGAACTTGAAATGATTTCTTAATATTCGAGCGGTGGGCGCGCAGTACGGTTAACTCGACCCTGTTCTTACGTCATTGCCGCCCTATCTAGGGTGCAGCTTCCTCGCCAGCGCCCTCCCGTCCTCCCCGTGCTGTCGCGGCCTCCGTCGCGCTCTCCCGGCGCTTTTACGTCATTACCGGGTGAGCTGGAACAGCGCGCTTTTTCGTGAATGAGATCTCAACGGGTGGGGAGTAAAAAAAGTGGCCGATGCGCGCGTTGACGCAAAAGATAAATAGTAATGGTCGGAAGAACGGTGGAAACCGCGCTGGCCGCTAATAAATCCGGCTCATAGGGAGGTGGTGGTGCTGGAGGAGGAGGTAGAGGAGGACGGAAGTGGCCCGGGGGTTTGCCTTTGCATATCCGGGCCGCGTTTAGCCTTTTTTTCCGGTCTGGTTTGCGGTACTCGATGTCGCGGCGTAATTTCTAGGCGGCGCTGGCTTGTCCACCGATATCGAGAATACGTCGACGGGCCGGCCGAACACCGGTTATTAAATTTCGATGCTGCGCACACCCGGACCTCGCCTCGCCTCGCCTAAATTCGCGCGACTTTTTATACCGCAACCCGCGGCACAGTGACGCCTGAAATTTTCGTTTCCCTCGAGCGAATGTCGAACGGCGATTCGCACGGAACACGCACTCGCCGATACGTTTCCCACCCGACGTGCGTGCTTGCGTGTTGTACGCTGAATTTTAATTAAAATCGAAAATACGCGATAATCGATGGCATAAGCAGCATTATCTTTCGATTAGCAGCGGAACGGACCGAAAGAAGCGCCAATACGCGCGCCATAATGCATTATAATCTCGCCGTTAAAATTTCGCATTGATTAAAATCGACGCCGAATAACAATAAATGCTAGAAACACAACGCGTGGCTCGGCCGACCATTACGCTCTATCGCGTCAGATACGCTCTTGCGCGTGTTCGGCTCTCGATTGTCGCTAGAAAGCGCGCGCGCGGAGAGTTGAATTTTAATCAAAAGCGAAACCGCATTAAACGCTTTGAAGGCGATGAAAGCTTTACGTCTCCCCGCTGCCGCCGCCGCCTTTTCGCGCTCATAGCAATGGATCGTGCGAAACACGATACCGATTTCGTTCACCGTAATCGTAGCGTAGAAAGGAAAAAAAGCGTCACATTTTAATTTCGATTATAATGGAAATGAATCGAGACCGAGAGCTCATAGCTGCGCGCCCGCGCGCGCAAAAGTTAATTTCCGCGTCGCAAATTAATTAATAATGCGATCGCTAGCTCTTCTAACACATACACATACACACACATATATATAATATATCGGACGAGAGTTACTTTTGTAAATAAATGTATACCGAGGGTATATTAAAATGGTTAAGACCCATTAACTTTCGGATTGATATTGATATGTGATGCGCGATAACGTGACGGTATATAACCACGAATGAGATGACCCCTCGTTGCAATCATAATTTTCGCCGGACACTTTTCGCGAGAGCACGAGTGGTTGCGTTAAAAGGTCGATATCTCTGATATCCGCGCGAATGAAGCGAATAAATATCACTTCGCGTTCCCTCCTCAGCCCGAGGTGTATCCAAATCTCCAAAGCTAACGCGACTTCGCGTCATGTTGAACTGAATGCCAAATAAAATGTCTAAAAGGAGAAATGAAAACATTTCGCTTTTTAGCCTTTGTAATAGCTGGAAATTCGCCCGCAATGAAAAGCGCACGGTTGGAGCTTTTAACCCACCAAATTACAAATTTTCGGACGCAAGTCGTTTCGCAAAGCACAAATATATGCAAACGATAACACGTGAAAAAAAAAGAACGAGCTTACCCGGTAAGCAGTAGTTTCGCGGACGAATTCAATTTGGCAGAATTCCGCGTTACCTCAACCTGCCAATGTGTGTACGCAACAAACTCGTCTTTTCTCTTCTCTTTTCAGCTACAGGGAAGAGCACGGATTCGATTGTTTCCGATCCGTCAATCTCGCCTGAGATTATTCTACCTGCCGCGAATACCTCCCTTTCTCTCTCTCTCTCTCTCTGTCTCTCTCCGTTACGTCGGAAATCAATATTCCTCGTGCCGAAAAAATTGTTATCGCGCGTCCGCGCAAACACGATCAAGCATCCCCCTGCCACCCTTCTCCCTTCTTTCTCCCCGCATGCTCCGAGCTAAAGAACCGCAGGTGAAAGTCGGCATAAACATCTTTTATTGGAAAACTTTCCTCCGCCGTCTGGCGAGAAGAGGCCGAGCACGGAGGGAGCGAGCGAAGAGTTGGCCGCGGGGCAACAGGGGGCGGGAGAAGGAGACGAATAACGACGGATAGGATGCATATCCCGCGATGTATCGGGCCTCGCAATTCCAGGTATGGCGCGGAGCAATTGGGAATCTTTATGCAACGCGCGCGCGGCGGGCGAAATATTTCTCTTTCCATCGCGAGAGAGCACGAACCGACGCGGACGTGCCGTATCGTATCGCGCGCCTTTTTCAGCGCGCGCTGCCCTTTAGCCCCTCCCCCCCTCGCGTCTTCGCCCTAAACCGTTTCCCTTCGTAGCTGCTCTCGCGCCGCCATCCCCCTCGTCCGACTTTTTCTCGCCCCCGATCGTTGTATCCATACGATATTTAGATCGTCTCGCACGGCGTATTTCCGACAGCGAGCGAGCGAGCGAGCGAGGAATATTGAGCGCGAACGAGAGTAAAAAGGCCGCGGGGAGGCCGCTGGCTATGTGGGGAAATTTGGGATTTAAAATGTGGAAACGGCAAACGTAACATTGAATAAACCATGCCGCGCCGAGCGCGATGTATCGTTAAATTAACGGGCCGAAAGCGCCCGGACAATTCGCGCTACGTCGGCGTGTTACCGTGCGCGGTTACCGCGATGGGGATACCGTAAACACACCTGAGAAAATATTGATATTCATTGAAACAACGGAGCAAGGCGCTCTACGCTCCTCTTGTATATTGATTTTCGCTCGACTTCAGCCAGGACGCGCGACGCCGCGTATTTTCGAGGAAGCGTGGTCGTCGGGTTCTTAAGATTCTGAAATAACGCGTACTTTCAGACCCGACTGAACTGGATCTGACGTCAGTCGTGTTTCGCGTCAAACGTGCGGCTCGCATACGGCCCTGTCTTCGTCCTTGCACTCTGTTCATCCCAAATGTAATCAGTGAATTGCAAAGTTGTGATCACTCAAGGAAATTATCCGGATAGGAGAAATTAAGTGAGACGGATGGAATAACTAACGAACGCCGCGGCATCGTATTTGTTTTGTATTCGATCAATATACATAGATAACAGAGATAGAATTTCCATTTGAACTATCTATTTGCGAAATTTAGTGAGAAAATTTCTCTCTTTCTCTCTCTCTTTGTGACGCTCACTTATATTAAAGTCGGTCTCACCTCTTATAAAAAGACTGACTGTCGCTGAGATGAGAGAAAAAAAGAGAAAAACAAACTAATGTATAATTCATACCGTGATACCTGCAAATACGTTTGCTTAATGTCACCTTCCGAGCAAAGAAACTGGCTATAAATAAAGCTGACGCCACCATTGGCATAAATTTTTCTTTCTCTTTGTAATTTCCTTTCCGGTCGCAAATTGGCGCGCCGAAATAATAACCGAAACAAAGCCGTAACGAGCCGCTCCAGCATTGCACGCTTGACTTTCACGCTTGAGATACGACTTTCAATTATTCAGAGAGAGAGAGAGAGAGAGAGAGAGAGAGTAAAAAAAAAAACAATTCACGCGCAAATTATACGAAAAGGGTTTGAGAGGCATGAGGTATCGTTCGGACGCGCGCAATTAACGCTTTAGTCGGCCAGACTCGGTAAGTTTTCCGGTGAGACATACCTTGGTTGGTTACTCGCTGCTGGTACGCCGCTTATATACCGATGTCCGGTAATCAGCATCGTGCGGAGATCCCCTGTGAAGAACGATCGGCTGTCGCTCCGTCTGCATCGTGAACGTAACTGTTACTAATTAACGTACGGACACGTCGCACTTTTATTTACGAGGCTGTCGTGGTCAACGACGATTATCTTACCGCGCCGGGCAAGGATAACTCGCGCACTGGCAGTCATTAATTGCCACTGCTCGCTCTTCCATCGTGAGAGAAACGATAGGGGTCTAGTTTATCGACCAACAGCCTCGGCTTGACTGTAACAGATGTGGGTACCTCGGCACGAACATCATTATGCAGTCGCGACGGATGCTGTGCGATGATGTCGCAGCATCTTCGTTGACCCTCCACCTCATTTTTCCCGTCGAACTGTACCATTTGTCCTGCGCTACTCTTGCGCTATTTTGCATTCAGTTTTATACTCAACACTGAAACTAAGTTTCATCATTTTGCATTTTGTTCCATCGAGAAATCAGTGATGTTACTCTTGTTATATATATGTAATTAATATAATATACAAAAATAAATTTATGTGAAAGGAAATGCAAGAAAAAATGGAGTTTTACGAAATCCCTTGAAAGTTTAATGGAGACAATTGCAGAGAAAAGGTTCAAGTACTAAGAGTCGTAAACAACTTCGCGAAACACGTTCTCGAGAGGAGGTATACCTCTCGAGAAATGACAGGAAAGTCATCGGGAAGTAGCCGGGAGGATGAGGAAAATGGTACGTTGCGTCACGCAATACAGGATGCGCGTTGAGGGAAGCAAGGGACGATCGACGAAGACGTCATCGGGATTCTGAGATGTGTGTTGTTTTGTACACGTCATCTATTATATAAAACATTATCGCTCAACATATACATATACATATACACATATATATATATATATATATATATATATATATATATATATATATATAAAATCAATATATCATACATTTCGTAATTTTTGTTAATATATCGGCATAATGATAACAGCGTAGACAACGTCACAGCTTCCGTGTTTGCTGGACATGTCGCGTCTCACGCGAGCACATCACTATGATAACATGTGCTGTCGGTTAAGGTATCGAGATCCAACGAGATGCAACGTCAATGCTTAGATAGGCATATAAGAATAGGCTCGAAGCGTGCCGTGTATCTTTATCTAACACGTTTGGCGGGACGGTGACTTTGACAAAGAAAAAAAAAACAATGAAATAGAAGGAGAGACAGAGAGAGATAGAGAGAGAGAGAGAGAAAGGCAAGACACGTCTGTTTTTCACAGCGCGCATATCAATGACAGGATTGGCCAACTACCGTGAACTGCCTGAACACGTCGGTCGTCGGTTGCACGAACTGTCAACAAGCAGTATCCGACTCACGAAACCGAGGAAGGAGAATTCCCCTTCGTTTTGTGCTCCCCTTTCTCTCTTTCTCACTGTTTGGTTAACGACAGGTATAACGTGGAGTCTATTTTATATGACTATAAACACACGCTCTCTCGCCTCGCTTGCCCCTTTTATTCCTAAACTCATTCGTCGCAGAGGCTAACAACGAGAGTCGCTTGTTTTCCAAATTGAGCGCACCGAACTTTACGAATCCCGCCAAGATCGATAGCCGCGGTCTACCAGCGAAATTTTTATTAAAGATAATAATATGATGATCCTACCAAACTGGCTTATATAAGATTCTAGTTCTGAGCCAGTATCAAGGAAATGGATGGATAATATGATAAAGTATTGTTATTACTGAAATTTCTATGGATTTCGGAAATGGAATCCGCGGCCACATTTTGGAAACAAGCGACTCGTATACTCGATATTGCACACGTGCTCTCTCGCAACACGTCGCTTATAAATATCCTTACGCATAGAAGAAAAGAGAGCTACGACACACGACACCACAAAAGGGGGACGCCATAAGGGCGCGTGTGCGTAAAAGTGAACATTCGCGCGCGCTTAAATATCACATTATTATACAGCTGTCTGTCTTTTTGCGAGGGACTAGCTTAATTCCATTTCGCGCCGACGGGCGACGTCAGCGAATTATAATTATATGCATCTTATGTACAATTCTCTCTCCTGCATCATATTGCACAGACGCAGCTGTCGTATACGCCTACTCGTGGAAGTTCCGCCATTATGTACCCCGTGGAGAAATTACGAGAAACGCTACGTCTCTATTTCATTATCTCCCGCCTGCCGTGTGTTATATGTGCGCGTGTAATGTGCGTGTGTGTGTGTGGCTGTGTACTTTCTTGTCCTCACCTGCGGGCCACTCCGCGCAAATAAATATTAATTGTACGCTACGTCAAATGGCAACTACGCGCTGAACCGCGGATGATCCTCCGCGACAAGAATAATTACCCTGTTTACTGTTGTCCCGTCGTTTCCGCAAATTTAAAAGAGGGGAAAAAATATTTTGCAAAAGCAACAGTACGACAGAGGGTAAAAGTCTCGTTTTAATTAAGACGAAAATGGACGCGAGTAAAATTTCAGCGTGACCTTCGACACATACGGAAAATTTTGACGATTAGCCACGCGAAGGAAAACAAAATAGAGCGCAAACAGCGTTAGACGTTAAAAATCCTCGCGATTGATACGTTTGTCACGGGTGGTTACGAGGCGTTAATCCTTCCTGTATGTTCAGCCTTTATGAATAAAGTAAAAAGGGCGCTCGCATAAATCGATAGCCTCGAGAATAGACGTTTCACTCGTTTGCCGCTTCTCCACCGACGATCCGGAGGTGGCGGAGAGATCACTGACGGAATGCAAACCGAGAAAAATCACCTACGATATCTGTATATGTCACGGTAAACGTAACTAAAGAAATTTCTATGAAACCACCGATAATTCTGTGCGAAATCTCTTGTGCGGATTCTCTCTGCCGAAGTATCCTACGTGGAACATAACGAATTCTACAGTTCTGTTACGTGTGTCGAGAAGACCGGGGTAAGTTGGCACGCTTTTCAGATCTTAATGAAACTCTAGGAGCAATATATTCCGACAGAGACATGCAATTCTTCTTCCTCCACTATTTCCCTCGTAATAAATACGTCAACGAAACGCGTGGAACATGTCTCTGCGCCAATTAGCCCCGGGCTTCTCTACGAAACATAGCCGATGTTTCCATAGAATTACCGACGAACTGACCTAATTGACACTAACCGTAACATATATTTCGCTAAATGGAATAACGACGAGAGTCGCTGTCGCGAGTCTCGTTAAAATTCTCGTTGCGCACGACCGATTGTGTCGAAATTTAGTAAAATACACATGTCGGTCTTACGTACGTTCCTTCCGTGCGATCGGAGAACAAGCCCTACATCGTCCTAATTATGAGGACTCGTCTTCGTTTCCTTCTCTAACGGCGACAGCGATTCAAACGCGTTCTTGGACGTTTATTTTCTTTCTGTTTATTCATACGTCCAACGCGCGATCTTCATCATCTGTGCGGGCAGTAAGGAACGTGCGGAAACAGATGACAATGGATCGACTTGAATCTGAAACAGAAAAGGGCGAGTATGCGTTAACGCGAGACCGTCAGGTTTTACCGCGAGTTTATCACGACGACGTTGCAAACGCGACATCCACTGAGAGAAAAAAATAGCTCATCCAACTAAAATTATATCTACTTTTGATCCCAATCATATTATCCACGATAAAACGATAGCAGTAACATGCATATGAGGCTTTTATTATCACTAACATTACAGTTAAGTTTAATAAAAGAAAATCTCTCTTCACCAAAATTTATAGTAATTATTTCTTTATATAATTATAGTCATAATTATCAAACATTTTTCTCCCAGTACATATTTAAAGCATTGAGAAAGTTGCAAAAATTCAAACTGCAGCAAGAGCGCGAGATGCGTGAAAGGAAATTAGACAAAATTAGACATAATCAGAAGAAAGATGAAAGAGAGGTAAAGATAAAACGAGAGAAACGTTTTGATTCGCGGACGAGCAATATACGGCGACTTATTCGTGCAATAATTTCCAACGATTTTACGTCCAATTGCTTTTTACGTCGATCTACGTCGCCACCGCCGCTGTCGCTCCCAATGCGAGAGGCGGTGTCTAGTTTAGGAGGTGAATATTCATTAATCATGCAATCTTCGCCAGGCATTAGGATTCGTTTCTATCAATAATCCGTCCTCTGTATCGTCTGATTGATTACCTAGCGCGTGCGCGCGCTCGCTCGATGCGCGAGCATCCTTCCTGTCTCGCATCCTGATTGCTTTAGCTACGGACTCGATTTACACTTCACATCACGTTCATTGCCTGCTATACATTCCGACCGTTCCTATCAGACGCGCGCGCTTTTCCCCCTTGGCAATTCGCTCATGCTTACTAACACGACTCGAAAGCGTCACGGGGACGCAAGCGCGACGGGAACGAGGAGATAAAAAAGCCTCGATGCGAATGGACACGTAGTCGCGTGGAGAGCGTGCAAAACGCGCGCGAAGCGCTGATACTTTCGTAATTGAAACCGACCGAAATGTTCGCTTCGATATGTTGATAAACATCCGCGGAAAAAAGAGAAAACATTGCATTCTGCGTGAGAACGGACATACTTTAATAATCGGGAAGCATCCGGTTCTAGTTTAACTTTCGGTTTAATGATGATTTAAAATGACTGCGCCACGGCGGGAGCCTTTTTTAAAATGAGCATATCTAGATTTCCTTTCTCTCTATTTTGCTATTTTCTTCGAAGGAAATTTGGAAAAATAGATTATATTTAATTAATTTTCATTTGTATTCGCTGTTAGTTAAAACAAGATACAAAAGTTCAAGTAAATAAAGAAGGATCTAATATTTTATCATCCTAAATTTTTTCGGGCCTACCAGGGAATTGGAGGGTTAACATTGTCGAATTCTCGTAACGCGCATTTTCCTCTTCTTTTTTCTTTTTTTGACGCGTAAATCCTACGGACTGTGTGGCGAACACAGTCGCGTGTAGGATCAATCGGAACAATGTGACGAACTTTCGTAATATAAACTTTTAATAAAACGCGCCGCACGAGGGTAGCAACGAAAGAATGGAGAACGCGATTTAATATCCGCACACCTCGATTATATCCGCCGCAAGTCATCAGATATATGTATATATTTCACCGGCAACCAGCGGTTTAGCTCCGGCTTGGATCGGCTCAACTCGCCTCGATATTTTTCTCGCGTTAATATTCACAAACGCGGAACTTGCTTTATATTCCGCGCAGCGCTAAATAAAAAGTCCCAGCGCGGATTCGCGGCAAGCGACGCGAGAACTTGCGCCCAGGCGAAATAAGCTGTTCCTTCCCCACTCGTGTTTTTCCTTTCTTTACCATCCCCTTTCTTCTTTTTTATTTGCTCCTTTCCTTCCTCTCTATAGTTCTCGTCGTTCTCTTCTGTTTACTATCTTTGAGCCGAAATTTGGATTCTGTTTTGGACCGCAATATTTCATTTAATGCTACTTTGATACCTTGAAGCCTATAAAATCAATCCCTTTTGATACCGTTTAACCTATTAACTTTGCTGAGACATCCTCTTTAGAACCCACATGGCGTTTTGTGCAATTCTACTATTTATTTAGAAGCGCTAAGTAGGACTTCAGCCTCCATGTGTACATTGAAAGAGAAAATATTTACGAATAAAAATAGTCAGAAAAAATATTTAGAAATAAAAAATAATTACTAAGTAATATTTGCTATGTGTAAAGTAGAATGTCTGTCCATTAACTCTTTAAATATTTTTACCAATTTGGATCAAATTTTGTACAATTACTTTCTAGTGTCCTGCGGAAAATATAGGCTACATGAAACCTAAACAAATCATCCACTCCCTCTAATTTCATCCCCTTCACACTTTGTGATAATTTAAGTTTGGATGTTCCAGACATGAGAAGCTCGATAACACGCCGGTTAGTTTAAGCTAGTGTATTATATTACATTCAATCGATTTTTCTCTATATATAAACATTTATATGCTCGGGAACGTTCGACAAATAACGCTTTCTTCTTCTTTCTCCGGAGTGGAAATGAGAGTTAGTCGTGGCTCAACGGGAGAACGGGGAAAAGAAGACCCGTAAAAGCAGCAGTGATTATAAAGTCAATTAAAAGTTACGAGAGCGCGTCGCGATGCCGTCCTCGTCGTAATTATCCCGCGACTGTCTTCCGTCTTTCGTCAATTACGCGGAAAGTGTCGCCCGGCATTTCGCTACGTGTGCACGAACGCGAATGCAAATTGCGGATGTTTACACTCGACGCATCGTCACGTAGGTTGCACGTGTCGTTTCACAAAACGGCCGTTCGCTCGCTCGCGAACGCGCAATTATTCAAGGTGGTGGACTAACGGAGGGAGCGAATTATCGCGTTAATCCCCCGCGCCCGCCACGCGTTCGGGGATGCGGTTCCGCGCACTTCAAAAGCCGTATTTCACGTCGCGAGTGCTCTGGAGAGAAGTTCAAAATATAAATTTCCACGGTGTGCGCGTATATTAATTCTGCAGCGTGTGCAACGATGAGAGCGCCAGCCACAAGCCGCGGGTCCGGCAACGCGTGCGATACTCGGTCGGGAATCAGCCACGGCGTAGAGGAGAGTGCGCAAAGATACCAGGAGAAATAATCGAAATTTGAATTCAATTCACAGACTTGAATTTCGCTTGAACGATGATGCCATTTCTCTCTTCCTCCCTCTCTTCTTTTCCTCTCGAATTAAACTGCACAAGGATCAGAAAAATAAAAGGGATTCACGACTTCTCGTCGTGTCGTAAGATCTCTTCTCGCGGAAACCTCCAAAGTACTTTAATTCAGTTATTTCTCCTTGAAGAATCTCTTCCCCGGCGCCCCCTGGGAGAGTCGGCATTCTACGCGAGCACTCTAGGCGAAGTTAGCAATTATAGAAGTAATTGAGGCTTTGATGCAGCTTCGCGCCGCGGGAGAGGGTTCTCGTTCAAAGAAACCGGAAATTAGAGCGCAGACACAGAACTCACGCTGGGGTTCCGCCGCGAAAATGATTCAATTTAAATGTGCATTTTTGCACGAACCAGCCCGGCGCGACGTTCCGGCATCACGCCGCGACTCGATCGTGCCCGAAGAGCACGTCGAGAGTGGAACGTGTATCTCCTCAGGAAATGTTTCGAGCGAGAAGACAAGCAGAAGGAAGATGCATAAGGTCGAAAGAAGCAAGACATACCTCTTAGGATCGTCCTTCAAGTCGAAACCGTCGATCTTCAGAATGTTCCACTCGTCTCTCGAGCCCTTGGAATAACTGAAAGAGACCTGAAACACAAGACGAAAAATGTAGCACGGCCGAGAACGGCGAAATCCGCGACACTCTCGGGCTGAGAATCACGGATCAGTAACCGAGAGCGATCGCCGCTGCGGCTGAAAACGATACCGTTTATTTTGACGAACTGCGAGTACACGTGTGACCCGTTTGTGTGTGTGTATGTGTGTGCGTGTGTGTGCACGCGCACTCCGCGAAATGTGAGACCGTGGCATCGAGTAATGCTGGTCGCGAAGAAAAATATTTTTTTGCGGCAGCGTTTCGCGTGCGTCGCGCTCGTTTTCGCTGGCCATATGATCTCCTTCCCCCCCTCCTTCCGTCTCTCTCTCTCTCTCCTAAGCGCGCGTGCACAACATAACTCGACCTAAGTGCGAATATTACAACGTATATTTTGGCGATAGATTTTTCAACGAACTTTAACTTCTTACTCTTCTATATCGTGAGGATTTATAAACTTTCACGATTTTCAAAACTGTGTAAGTTAACACTAAACACCGAACGCTCATTTTTTACTGTTTTTTTATTTTTAAATTAACATCCTGTTTCTCGCGTGTAAAAGACAGGATTGCACTAATTGCTCCGTCAGAATGAAGGATAGATATTTGATAAGAAGTTAGAGAATTTCGAAATTCTGTCTCTTACATAAAAAACGGGATACTAATTTAGACTAAATTTAATACTAAATTTAAATAAAAATGGTCATAAACGGCTGTTTGGTGTTTCAATATTAATAAAATTTTCCATATGTTATGGAGAGCGAGGGAGAGAGGAAGATACGTAACACGCGATACGCGTATACGTGCGCTGGCACCGTTAAAAAAAAAAAGATTGTCCACCTGAGCCACTTTAGTTAATACCTGTCCGAGGATGGGTCACGCGTTCTCTGCGATTGCTCCTATTACGGCGGTCCGCCGGCTCGTAATAAACGGAAACCGCACAATTAAATAATAGCTATTGTGTTTCGTGAAATAAAACAGACAATGCGCTCGGTACGCGCGTGGTCTGATTCATCCCGCGCCTCAAATCATTCTATTATCATTCCATTATTTATCATCATGCTACTTATCGTGACCCGTAGAACACGGGGCGCAGAACACGGACATGGAGTGATTTCGGCTCTGCTTGCATTTCCCATTGTATTGTACGATGTGACGTATCGCGATTACAAATATTTTAGCGCGCGTACGCCAAATGGCGCGTTAAATATGCGAGGAGTATATCGGAACAAGATCGCTTCAGCATGTTTCAGCGGCTTTAATGAGCCGTTAAATAGTTAAATGTTAATTTCGTGTGAATTTAATCGTCGAATTTTGCCGTGCAAATCATGGGTATTTTATTAAATATTCGAGGACACGTCAGTTCAAATTGTAATTACCTGTTCGTGGAAGGTATCCTTATTGAGGAACTTCATCGGCTCCAAATGCGAGTGAAACTGATCCACCACTGTCAGATTCTTTTTCAGGAGGTACTCAATAATATACCCCATCGTCACGTCATCTGGCAGCCTGATTTTGTCGCCGACGGTTATAAATTTGCCGCCTCTGAAAGCAAACGTTGAGACGTCCCGTTTATTATTCGCGTGATTAATTACGATTCGTTACGCGCTCGCGCTGGCATACGACTGGTATACTTAAAATTAATTTCCTATACTGAGAGAAAGAATATTCAAGAAGAAAGAAATGTTTATTTGTAATACTAATAACACGTTCACTTGCACTACGTACATATTTTTACATTGAGAAAAGATTCTTTTTGAATGAGAAAATGAAGTATTGTCCTAAAATTATTACTGTTCACGAAAGCAATTGTTTATTCTATTTAAATAAAAGAATTTAGATTTAAGTAACTATGTATATTGGTACCGAATAAATATCTCTTATTTTCCTGATATTTTTTTCTCACAAGTAAACCTACCCAGAAGTTACATTGCGACTTCTTTCTAATTTGGCACAAATGTAAAAGTACAAAAAATATTTAGGTCATATTTTTTTATTTTGGTCCATTTTGAGTTTTACGGGCAGTTTATAGCTTTTTAATGTTGTCACTTCTATCATCAACAAGTGCAACAAAAATGCATAAGAAATAAAATTGAATACAAGATATAGGCGTTTTTGGTTTGCTGATTATAAATATGAAGTCAAATGTGTAAAATTATTTGTATAAATAATAAAATGTTTAACAAAATATGTAAAAAGTTAAAAAAAATTATTTATACAAATAATTTCTCGGTTTGGCCGAGATTCGAACCATTTTTTACTAATTTAGCACAGATTTAAAATATTTCGATTGAAATCTCAACTAAAGAAATTTGGAATGGTTCGTCTCTCAGCTATACCGATTTTGTTAAAATTATTTAACTATATCTTATATTCAATTTTATTTCTTAAGCATTTTTGTTGCACTTGTTGATGATAGAAGTGAGAACATTAAAAAGCTATAAACTGAAACTCAAAGTGGGCCAAAATGAAAAAATATGATCTAAATATTTATTGTACTTCTACATTTGTACCAAATTAGAAAGAAATTATCTTTTGGATAGGTTTATTTGTCAGTGTGAGAACAATTAATAATAATAATAAATAATCGATATATATGTTACGCTTGTATTTTCGCTGTTCAGGAGCAACAGCGAAAATATTCGCTCGAAGTAATCCGAGACATCATCTGGGAGACATCTGTCAAAATTCATAAAACAATGTCGCGTAAATATCATCTGCTTAATTCACGATATCGTCACGTTGTTCACGCGCAAAATTTCGGGAATATTCTAAAAAAAAACAAGTCGAGCTGACGTTTAAATTTTTAATGGGAACGACACTCGGTACATGAATTATGAAGTTCGATCTCACGTCAGCCACGCTTAATCCGTTGTACGCTGCTACGTGAATACAGGATTATCCTCCGTGTGCAGCACTTTTAGTCTTTCTCTCTCTCTCTCTCTCTCTCCCTCTCTCTCTTTAGATCCTGTCATGGAGTCAACGTGTGCGATGGACCGCGCGAGGGATACTGCATGCAGGATTATCTGGTGTTTATTACCTTCTCCTGTCGAGTATTCGCGGAAACGGGATAGGTAAAGGAGGGCGAAAGCAAGAAAAAGAAAGAAAGAGAGGGAAAGAGCAAAGTAGGATGATGTAGGAATTTATTACGTACTACAAGTAATCCGTTGAAAACATCAAGTGGATATCACGGCGGGGTTGGTACAAAAACAAACGCGACGTAATTAATGACTGCACGGCGGAATTGTAGAATACATTATGAAGATTATTTTTCATTTTGCTTGTTGAATTTTTATGCTCATCATCTTCATTAAAATTTAAGACATAAGAATAAAAAAGCAACGAAGAACAATTGGATAAGTTCATTTTACACATCGTAAAAGACTGAAACTTTATCTATGCAGTCTTACCAATTCCCGAACACATGTTTAATCCCAGACATTCTTACCGTTTAGATCTTTAAATACGGATCTTTAAAGACCGAAATAACACAAATTTCTAGGTTTAGGTACGTGTCCGGGAATTGATGCTTTCAGCTTACTTCTTTACATCGTTTACACTGAGAAAAAAATATCTAAAAATTAACATATTTATAGGATACTATTAACATATTTATTATTATGGTATTATTTACTCGGTTTACATGAAAAAATTTAAGAGTAAATGGTATCTACCTAAGAGATATTCGTTCATTTTTAAATATTTTTTCTCAAGTATACAAGATAATTCTTTTTCCAGGATAAACTCTTTCTAAGAGATCTTACAGAGATTAATTATATTAAAAGTCGAGGACTTTCGGTGACGCCGTGCGGTCGCTCGTAAAAATCCTCGCCGCACGATTATTCTCCCTTCAACGGGATGAGAGGAGCACGCACGCATATGGAAGAACGCGGTGTGTTATTCAGTGCCTCGATTGGAAAGCTGATAGTCACCGCCGTCACTGAAAATGGAAAATCACTAACGAGACGCCGTTCCGAACTTTGTCACTGCGCTCCCCGGACGGTCCACGTTCCGATACGACGTCTCGATAAGCGACCGGCAAGACGAGTTCAACGATAACGTCGGTGCTTTATCGGGACATTAGCCGTATTTATTTCGCGGCGAGGTCCTTCCATTTAATTATCCGGCCGGACGACGAGCTTAATGAATCTCCCGAAACGGTCGTCTCACCGGGATAATTATGAGACGCTGACGCGCTTCAACGTAAGGGCTAAGTTAATTTACAAACGCGCGGACTCTTAATTAACTTTCCTCACGACGATTACGTGAATTAGCCAACGCGCGGATTCTGCGCGCGTTGCGTTCTCTTGGTGCAGTGAATTAATTTTTTAGCTCATCGCGCGTATTACAGCGCACATTTTGTTCCCCGGCCGAACTGGTTGCGGAGAAGAAAGGACGAGTTAATTACGGTCGGCGTAAAACGCAAAAACTTATCTCCGATGCGTGCGCGCGACTTGTTTCGCGAGATTGCACGGGGAATCTTTCCGAGGGCAAACCGTCAGTCGTTTGTGTGGCGCACAGTACGCAAACCGAAGAGGCACAATTCTCCGGATCGTCTCAATCATCCGACGCAGGGGATAATTATCAACGCGGTGTTCGAAAATGCCCCGGGATGCTTGTGGAAACGTTATTTACCGATTACGCGCGCCCCGCTCGAACGTGTTCCAACGTTCGCGCGCATCCGCAGCCGCATGAAATAATTACCAGCCAGCATCTCCGCGTTGCGTATATGAAGTAATTAACTCATTCCCATGAGGCGCCACGCACCTTATGCAGGAGCTCGTAGAAGGAGCACGAGGGTGCCCCTCCCACTAACCCTTTCGCGACGGTCGTTCCTCCTCCGGCGCGCGGCGAATTATGGGGGGGGGGGAAAAACGGAGACGCGTCACGGAACCTCGCGCGGGTTGGGGTCCCCGGGCGGGAATAAATTACCGACCCTGTACAACCACCCCGAAAGTCACGCGATGCCGACTAGGGTCCTTAAGTCCTTCGCGTGGCACCCGACACGCATGCACGATTAAGGTCGGCCGGAAACGCGACGGCGGCGGCATAGTGGCGGACACTGACGATGCGAAAGTCGCTCACGGGTACACGGAGAGAGAGGAGATGGGTAGAGAGAAAGAGAGAGAGAGAGAGAGAGGGAGGGGGTACGACGAGAATTGTCGCAAAAAAGGACACTCGCGAAAGAAGGATAATTGGCCTAATAGGCCGGCAACGCAACTGTGCCGGGGAGCGAGGCCAATCGGTTGGTATCCCTGTTTGTCGGCGACATCGCCGGTACCCCTACGATCCGCTGCAGGGACTGAGATGTTATCCTTAGCAAACGCGTAAGTCGCTAGAGGGACGAGGCGACAGTGATAAGCGGGATGATAAGAGAAATAAGTGAACGTTCAAGAACATATTTGAGCCTGGTGCATATTTCACCTGCTACATATTTTAGAATTACAGTAGAGATGACAATATTCTAGTCAGATGATTATTTTATATGGTGTACTACTGTGTCCAAAAAGTAAGACCAATTTAAAAATTTTTTTTAATCTTTATTTATTATTCCAAATCTATTTCGTCGCCTTCAAAGTAATCCCCCTCAGACACAATACACTTATGCCAACGTTTTTTCCAATCCTCGAAACAGTTGTTAAAGTCGATTTCCGGAATGGCCTTCAAAGCTTTCTACAAGATTCAGCTTGTATCTCTTTAATCGAGTCAAAACGGTGTCCCCGGAGCGGTCTTTTGAGTTTAGGGAATAGCCAGAAGTCACACGATGCTAAATCAGGTGAATATGGTGGTTATGGAACGATATGGGTCGAATTTTTAGCGAAATGGTCTCGAAGAACCAATACAGTGTGAGATGGTGCATTATCGTGGTGCAAAAACCAAGAGTTGTCTTTCCACAATTCCGGTCTCTTTTTGCGAATAGCTTCACGCAAACGACGCATAATTTGACACAGATGTCTGTCACAGTGCTACCAATTTAGAAAAAAAATATTTTTGACATTCGATATACCCGCGCAATTTAACTTGAAAATTGGTCTTACTTTTTGGACACAGTACTATGTACAGCAGCAAAGGATATTTTGAGGCCATTATAAAAGGGCTCTGCTGAGGATAAGATTATTTCTTTTATTTGAGGGTACATGTGTTACGCGTATAATTATTCGATGCAAAAGTGCAAAATAAAATCCCCATAAATAAACGACGAAACCTAATTTGATCTGTTCCTTTGCCGCGACTGATCTCACCGTACTATTTCACCATTATTTCATCACGAATCACGTGGCTGACTGTTTGCTGAAACAGTCCGCTGATAGTCCACAAGTCACTCCGCGGATGTCTCCCGCATTGCGAGGTAAAGAACCTCCCGTCGCCCATAGATTACACGACGTCTGGCAATTCGACCATTCGGCCCCATAAACAAGTCGCGCGTTCCCGCGGGATCGCTCACCATCAGCTGTGCGAAGCGTTAACGCTCATTTCTCACCGTCGCGTCGCCGTTGTACTCCTCATTAATCTCGACATTAATCAAGGATGAACGCTAGACCATG